TCAAATGGAGCAAACAAATGGCAGCTGAACAGAGCAGCTGGGAGCCAGGAACAGAGGCAGGACATCCGCCACTGCCACGGGGAAGGGGGCTGAAAGACAAAGGAGACCCGGCTGATCCGGGGTAGCACTGACCTTGGCCAGGGTCTTTTACCGAGCTGTTTTGGCTTTACACTGAAACGGCTAAAAACGCTGCATTCGCACGCCTGACCTAAGCTTTCTGAGGCAGGTTTTCTTTGCAGTGTTTTCTTCTTTAGAGGGCATTGAAGGGGAGTATAGGAGTGCAACAGACGCTGACACCGCTTCTTCGGTGTGGAAATATTATGTCCTGGGTCCATGATGTAAACTCACATTTCACAAACTTAAGATTTTTCTAGCAAGTCCCCCTTTTTTGGTCAAAACCATGAAAGAACAGAGCTTATCACAGATCTCTCCTGCCCCAGAAGGGCTCTGTGAGCCTAAAAAGACAGAAGCAGTAAAAAACACATGGAGCCGATGCCGTTATGGTCCCACGTCTTTCTAATTGGCCTCGTCTGCTGTGCTTATTTTTAGAACCATGACTGAACCTTAATGAAGAGTGACATCGCTTTGAGGAGATCCTGGCCAGGCTCTGTAGAAATCCTAATAGGCTTCCGAGTGCTTTAGTTTTTCGTTCATCTCCTACTTAGTAGCTCGGACTGCTGAAACGCGCAGGATGTCCGGAGAGGGCATCTCTCCATGTTCAGCTCGTGCTCCTTTGGGATGGGGCACCCCGGAGACAGCTCCTCAGCGATGAAAGATCAGCCCCTTTCCCATGCGTTATGTTGATGCGGATAGCACGGCTCCTCTGGGAGAGGGGCACTGGGGACAGCACCGGGTGACCCTGTCATCCTTTTATCTGGTCTCTGTTTCTTCCCCTCTTCCTTGGGAGCAGCAGCTGGCCAGAACTGTCCCTGCAGCTCAGGGGAACGTGTCCCTGAGGCCTCCACGCCTGCCTGCAGCTGCACACTGGGGCTGGTTCTCGGAGAGAGAAGCTTTCCTAGAGGGTTTTGCTGTTTTCCTCTCTTGTTGCTGTGGTGGATTTTGAAGCACTCTGCGAGAAGGGAAAAACGAGCCCGAGGTCGGTGGCGCAGGAGTTACTCCAAAGTGGGTTCTATTCATGGGTCTCAGACGTTGCATTTGCCAGACGTGAGACCGATGGAAAGTCAACTCCCCCCAAGCTCCGTGGGTGCGTCGCAGTGAAAATAGAAAGGCCAGTTTGTTGGGGCACTGAGAGCTCGCTCTGAGCTGCTAATTGCTCAGCCACAACATCCCCTCCGTGACTCTTTGGCTTTCCAGGCAGCCAAGCTGCATCCCCTTGTTGTCTGCAAGGGTAAAATCAAGCGGATCTGTGTTTCCTAGGAGGTGCTTTCCTTGAGACACCCACCTCTTTGTGCGCCCTTTGCAGTGGTGGTTCTGCGGGGGGAGAGCAGCTCCGGTGCTTCCCCGGGGAGAGCAGAGGGGCAGCGGGCACGGCTGCGAAATGGCCTCTGCTGCCCTCTGCGCCTGCCCTCGCGGCGCTCCCGCCCATCCTTGCACGGAGCGGTCGCGCTCAGGGGCAGCTTGAGGCACCTGTGGGCTGCTGCTCCCAGGCTGCGCTGGGGCAATGTGCTCAGTTTACCTCTCTCCTAAGCCTAACTCCAGCCTTTCGTTTAACTCCCTGGCTCGGCAAAGCGTGGGCCGCGGGCAGGTTTAATCGCAGGCAGAAGTAAAACACTTGCTGAGTTGGTTTGGTGCTTATGTGTGCAAGTGGGGCTGAGCGTGGGCTGCAGTACTGTTTGGGGCAGAGGCAAGTTTAATGAAGGGTTTTCAAATCACATGAAGTTTTTTAAACTCACACTTGGCTCCCTAGCAAAGCAATGCAGTGCACTGGGGCACACCTGTGCAAGGATTTTTTCCTGTCTAATAGAGTCAGGCCAAATAAGAGGTGAAGGAAGGTGTTATCTGAAGGAAAAGTAAGTCGGACGTAGCGAGGGCTTTCCTATTTAGGCTCTTGGCTGAAGGCAGGGATCCTGGTGTGCTGGAGCGGCCCTTGGCCTTTGCAGGAGAGCAGCAGGGTCTATCTGATGTGCAGGCACAGGGCGAAGCGCCTCCCGTGCGTGCACATACATCCTTAGCTGTGCCACGCAGTCAGGACTTGCAGTGTATGAGTCTGGCCTGTTGCACGTGCCCCTCTGCAGTGCCCCTTAGCCTGGAGAGTCCATAAAACAACAACAAAGCTGCAGACAGGTATCTTGGGTACTCTGAAGGATCATCTTTTTTTTTTCATTCATCTTCCCTTTCCTTTTCCCTTTCCTTTTTTCTTTTTTTTTTTCTTATTTGGCTTTAAGGTGACAAAATCCAGGGTTTGTGGGCAGGAGAGGAACTGGGTCTGTCTGAGGTTCCGTCTTGAGATGAGGTATCATTGCCCTTCAGTGGCCAGGCAAGGCAGAGCCATCTCGTCCTTGCTGGGCCGGGCTCAGTGTTGCGCCTGAGCCGCCTTTTGCTGTTCTGCTCTTGATAATCGGACTCAGAACAACTTGGCCAAGGAGTTAAAGTGGATTTGGTTTAAGGTGATTTATGTATGCAGTGACGCTCAAAATAGGGAGCTCTCTACCCTGTGCCAACAGATGTGACCCAAGAGATGCGGCGGGCGCCGTGCCGCCATGCTCCTCGGCCTCCAGCGAGCAGCCAGCCAGGAGCAGGGGCTGCTGTGGGAGGAAATCTTTCTAGGCAAACGCGAGGAGAAAAAGATAGAAAATGGCAACTGAAAGAAGTTGGAGTGTTTGTTTGACTAAAAGGGGGCATTTTTGCAGAGGTGGCGTGCAGGCTGTCGGTGGACGCTGGGCTGTGGTGTGTTTGAATTGCAAAGCATTCTGGTTGTGCCCAGCGAGCAGCAGAGAGCAGGAACAGAAATTGGACTGGACACGCTGTTTGCTATGGCCTTGGTTTGTAGCTGTGGCAAAAAGATAGCTCAACCTTCTGTTACACGGTGAAGAAGACTTCTGGTGGCTTTTCTTTAGGCACTGCTTCGTTTGCAGAGTTAATGCCAAGATACCTTATAGAGTGTGCAGGTCCATCTCTGTTTTGCGTGCAAAGCAGAAAACTGATCTCTTTTACTCCTGAAAACTACACTCAGTCTTTCCTCCTAATAAAAGACAGCTACAGAGCTATTCATGGTCAAGGGCCTTGGCTGCATGAGCGTAGCCCCTGCAGCCCGTACAGGCTGTGGCAGGGGAGACTGCTGATGTGATGGTCACGTTTCTGGCTGACAATGTTGCAAGCAGTATGGTTACAAGCAGCTCCCAGATAACAGTGACCAGACAAGATTAAAGACTTTTCCCTTCAGTTTCCAGCGGCCTGTGTGAAGCGGGCACTATCTGACATGTAATCAGTGTTCGAGCCTCTGCCGAACTGATTATGTTCCAGTGTTGCTCCGAGGTCTTCTCGCGGCGTGCTTGCTCCTCAGCATCTGCCGAGGTGCCAGCCCAGCCTGCACGCCCGGTGTATCTGATGGCAGGAGGTGTCAGCAAGGAAGCGAGGGTCTTCTCCCCAGCCGTGGCACTGACGACGGGGGGATCGCTTGCTCCGGTATCGCAAGCGGAGAATTTTGTGATAATAAAATTGTGTGGGCTCTTGCAACAGCTGTGGTGCAGGTGCAGCCCTTGAGAAATGGGTGCAAGGCACAAGGGGACAGGGTGGTTTGGAAGGGATTACAGCTCTGTGTTATCAAATCCTTCAGCTTCCTGGGACAAAGCATCAGTTGCTGCTCCTGGTTTTGCCGAAGGCAGCTGAGCTCTACCACATTTTTACCTGTTAAGATCTAATGATTTATTTGTCTTTGCTTAGGACAGGCATTAGCTGCTTAGGAATTTGCAGCTTTTATCCCTCACCCTGTTTGTCTGCTGTGGGCTTTACAAAAGCAGGTCTGCCCCACTCGCCAGAAAGCTGAATCTTGGGGCGGTTTTAATTGAGTTCTGAAAGTTGTGCAGGTGTAACCAGAAGCTCCTGCAGACCTGGCAAATGAAACGTGTTCAGCTGCCTTCAGATCTGTAATTGGAGATAGCTGCTCTCCTGTAGACACAGGGGTGCTCACAGTCCTGTTGCACTCCGGTTCCAGGCCTTTTGCCTACTTGGCCAACAGCAATTGCACATAAAGCCTAAGGGTGTTACAGAAGGCCAAGGCTAGGTGCCTATTGCCTGGAGGGTAGGAAGGCTCTGCAGAGGGGTCTGGCAGGATCGATGGGCTGAGGCCAAGTGCCGGCTCCTGCCCTTCGCTCACAACAAGCCCACGCAGCGTGACAGGCCAGGGGCAGAGCGGCTGGAGAGCTGTGTGGCAGAAAAGGGTCTGGGGCTACTCGTTGACAGCCGGCTGGACACGAGCCAGCAGTGGTCCACGTGGCCAAGAAGGCCACGGCCTCCTGGCTTGTACCAGGAACAGTGCAGCCAGTGGGAGCAGGGAAGTGATCCCTGTACTCGGTGCTGGTGAGGCTGCACCTCGAACACTGTGTTCAGCTTTGGACCCCTCACTACAAGGACATGGAGGTGCTGGAGTGTGTCCAAAGAAGGGCAAGGAGGCTGGTGAAGGGGCTGGAGCACAGACCTTATGAGGGGAGGCTGAAGGAGCTGCGGTTGTTTAGTCTGGAGGAGAGGAGGCTCAGGGGAGACCTTGTCTCTCTCTCTACGACTACCTGAAGGGAGGTCACAATGAGACGTCTGTCAATCTCGTCTCCAAAATAACTACCAATAGGACAAGAGGAAATGGCCTCACGTTAGATGTGAGGAAAAATTTCTACGTGGAAAGAGTAGGCAACCCTTGGAACAGTCTGCCCAGGGAAGTGGTGGAGTCACCGACCTTGGCAGTGCTCAAGAAACGTGTAGCTGAGGCACTCAGGGACTTGGTTTAACAGCCGTGGTGTTGAGGGGCTCACGGTTGGACTCGGTAATCTCGAGGGTCTTTTCCAACCGTAAGGATTCCATGATCTGTGGCTCAGAAGAAGGGCTACCTTGCTCTCCTGCAGCTTCTTGCCGAACAAGTCAAGGAGCAACATGGTTTGTTTGAGGTCAGATAGGATGTTTGCCCAAGCAAGAAATTAAAATATTGGCTGTTCATTCTATGCCAGAGTACAAAGAGAGTCTTTAAATCTCTGCAGTGGATATTTTAGGGTTCAGAGAAAGCAAAATTATGGGTTGTTCTTAGTAAAAAGGGCTCTGTCCACCCGCTGTCCTACAGTGCTCGGCTTTCTGGGCGAAATGAGCCCAACGAAGCAGTGTAACAAAAGGGCCCTGTTTTAACACACCTACATATAAAGTGCTAAAATGGTGCTTGGCTCAACTCTTATCAGCATAATCTCATCCTAACAGATGCTGGAAAGGATTTTTTTCCCCTTTGGTTTTCTTTGTTTCAAATGGACCACCAGTGACTGTGCTGTTCTGCTCAAAGCTGTAGCGAAGGGCTAGGAAAACACCCTGGGGAAATGGTGCTGCTTCCTGTGGCCTGCCAGCCCTTTTCCATCAAATGGGACACAAGGCCCTATCCTCAGCACCAGGACAGGCCGCAAGCTGAGGCATGAGAGACTTGAGGCATTGAGAGCACTTTATTGCTATTGCCCAGCCTTGAGCTTCCATTGCACAATTACATGCTTTAAATAAGGTTGTTGGGCCTTTTTTTTTCCCCAAAGAACTGTTTTTCCCAAGAACGGAAATGAGCAGGACCAATTTTAAATCTATCTGTCAGTGCCTATTCACATGTTTCTTCCCTGGCGGAGCCAGACTGTTGCTGATATGGAAAATCCTTCTGCTTTCCCTAGGCGGAGTGAAGCTCTGGGCCGCCCGCACTCCTGGCATTCAACCAAATTTTCAGAGAACCAACCCGATCTCAGCATGATGCAAATATCTCCGGGTACGCTTGGCACCCCTTGGCATCAGACCTACCACTCCAGGTAAGCACCCCGCACCTGCGGCCCTGTGCCGCAGAGGCAGAGATGTAAAGCAGTCTGCTGCGCTTTCCCCTACTTTGTCAGTGCAAAGAAAAGCATTTTCTGCTCCTCTCTAGAGGAATAATTTATTGCAGCCCCCGGGTCAGTCTTCCAGGCTAATGTGCTTCTAACCTACGTGCCCTGGTCCTGCCACCTTCCTTTTTTCCAGCATAATACTGGTCTCAAGGAGGCTCTGCCTCCTGCTCAAGGCTATGTTTCGATGATGCTAACTGTGAGATCAGGACCTAAATCTAGAGCACAGAAATGAAGGAAGGAGCCAAAGGATTTTTGGGCAAAATCCATGTCACCTCCATACAGCTGACAGGTTTACAGACAGCCATAGTTAAGGCAGGGCTTTGCAGGGCTTTTGGTTCCTGTTGGGTTACTTGGACATCTAAAGCCAAAATACATGTGTTTAAAGAATAGATAATAAAGGGGGTAGGGGAGGCAGCAGGGTAACCTGCCCGTCAGTGAGAGCTCCCCCGGAGCAGCCAGCGGGGTTGCAGCGCTGACCACGTAGTCCCAGAGTGAGAAGTTCAGCAAGAGATTTCCTGGTTTGGGCAATTGCTTTCTGCAGGGTCAGCTTTATCGTGACCTTAAGATGCACGTGTGTTTCTCTGAGGAGTCAGGGCAGTCTAAACTAGGGTGTTAGTCTTGTCTAAACTAGGGTGTTAGTGCTGGGAAAAGCAGACGGTGCACGACACTTGGTTTCGGCAGCGAGCTGTGCAGAGGCTGACTGGGGTCCGTGGGGTCGTCCCTGCAGGCTGGGGCTACCTCTGCAGCCCGTGCAGGGTGGCAGAGTGGGCTGCAAGCAGGAGAGCTGCTGGGGGCACCCGCTAAAGCCCCTCCAGCACGCTGGGGGCAGCATCAGAGGGACAAGTTCAAATTCTGCCATAGGAGAACTTTCCCTGGAAAGGCAGAAGGTGTCAGGAGGAGGAAATGTCCCCATAGCCACTGGCATTAAAACTTCATTTCTTGCGCAGGTGAGACCAAGCCTGAGCAGGGAGCAGGAAAGAGAAAACAGGGCATAAAAAAAAAGCGAGGGGAGGATTACAGGAGAAACGTGTGCTCCTCTGCAGCCCTCGGCACAGCTCGTCCCATAGCCTCTCCGTTTGCCACCGAGGGGCTTCGCTGCAGCGGCGGCTCCTGGCAGAGCCCTTGGCTGGCATGGGCAGCCAGCGTGGCTGAAGAGGAGCACGGGGAACATCTAGTGGCCGGTCAGTCAGTGCTGCACTGGGCATTGCCAGGGTGATTCTTTCTCATTGTTATTGAAAGGCTGCAGTTCGTCTTGATGAGTAAAGCAGGTTTATCCTAAGTTTTGCCCGTCTGCATTCTCCACACCTCTCTGCAGATCTGCTTCCTGCTTCCGGGGGCAGGCAGGTCCCCTCGGCCTTTCCTTGAGCTCAGCAGCTTCTCCCTCCCTCCCTGTCTTTGGCCTTATGGGCGTTTGTCCGGGAAGGAGGGAGTGACTGTGACTGGAGCTCCCTTCCAGCTGATACATCTCCAAATATCTTTTGTTCTGGAGGCCACAAGTCCTCTCCAAATCATGTTGACAAGTGCCATGATGCACCTGTGTCTGCTTAGCTACGTGGTGAGGAGGCTTCAAACAGTTGTTAGGACTTTCTCAATGCTGGTTGGTTGCACCCCCCCATTTGTCTGCACACACAAACACATGCATCTCTTCTCTGCCTTGTCTGTTTAGCTTTCTTGCAGCAAACAAACTGTCCTAGGGACAGCCGAATTTCCAGGAAGCCTGCCAGGGCATAGCCTTCATCTCCATAAAAAGAAATGAAATGGGAAAAAAAGAGAGAGATTAGATTCCCCCCAGAATGCCTCTTGTGCTCCTCTCCTCCTCCCTGGCGGTGTCGGCACTCATTCAACTTTCCAAGTGCTGTGGGTAGGTTTGATGGGTGGGGTTGATCTTCCCTGGCTCCAGAAATGCACTGCGTTTCTGCCTGTATTTCCCTCCCACCCCTCTGGTAAATAAGAGCCATGTGTTGCAATGTCAAGCAGTTCCTCTTTGTGAACTGGGATGACTGCAAACAGGGGATGGAGTAAGGCCCAAATATGGGTTTTAATCTGCACTCCTCAAAGCTAAACATCTTGCTTCTGAGCTCATTTATAAGTTGTTGTGCCTCTCCTCTGCTACCAGTTGGTCTTTACTCTTTTTTCGCTCTTCCCCAGCTCATCCACCAGCGATCTCTCTGGTTACGAGCATGGCTATCTGAGGAGAAGTCCTGACCAGTACAGCTCCCGGGGAAGCATGGAGAGCTTGGACCACTCCTCCCCTGGCTACCACCCTTGTCACCTGTCCCCAGCCAAGTCCACCAACAGCATTGACCAGCTCTCCCACCTCCACAGCAAGAGAGACTCAGCCTACAGCTCCTTCTCCACCAACTCCAGCATCCCCGAGTATCCCGCTGCTCCCTTCAGCAAGGAGCACTCCTGCTCCATGGACAACATGCACTTCCGAGGCGGCGCGCAGGAGGGCATGAGGCAGGCTGACATCAGGTACATCAAGACGGTCTATGACGCGCAGCGAGGGGTCTCCGAGGAGTACGAGGTGAAGTCCCCTGCTTTGCTTCCGAGCTCCGAGGGCCGGTCGCTGGCAGACGGCCGCAGCCACGGCCGGCTCCATGGCTTCAGCCGGCACAGCGCGGCTCCCTGCTGGGCGCAGCCAGGCCGGAGCTCCCCAGATGCTGAGAGCCAGCCACACAAGGGACCTCCCTTGCCACCCGCTCGCAGCGACAGCTACGCAGCCATCAGGCATCACGAGAGGCCCGGCTTGTGCCCGGGCCTCGATCCCAGTAAGCCTGGTCGAAGCCAGCCAAAAGGGGCCTGGCCTCCCCTTGTCAGCAACTTCTCCCAGGGGCCGCTGCTGAAGGCCCCGTTTGGAGATGGGCATCTGCACACCGTGGTGGAAAAGAGCCCGGAGAGCAGCCCCACGGTGAAGCCCAAGCAGAGCTATTCACCGTCGGCCCAGCCGGGGCAGCCCCTGTTGCCTACTGGTGTCTACCCAGTCCCTTCCCCAGAGCCGCACTACGCCCAGGCGCCGCAGCCTTCTGCGAGCAGCAACGGGACCCTTTACCCAGCTCTGGCCAAAGAAAGCGGCTACCCTGCACCTCTTCCAGGCTCCTACGACAAGGCCGTCGCCAGCAGCCCCCTGGACTTTGATGAGAATGGAAACCAAAGCACTACCAACAGGTCGACTGTTTTTTACCAGCCTCCAGCCGCTGAGCGAAAGCAGGATGCGGCAGCGAAACTCGTGCAGCACAAACCGGCTGGCGCCGCGGGCCCAGACGCCTACCTGACCATGGCGCGGAAGGAGGAGCTGCTCCCCCCGTACAAGGCGGTACAGGTGCCCACGGGGCGGGAGGGCAGCAGCACCGCGCATGGCCCGGCCCCGCCGCCGCCAGCGAGGGCTGCCGGCGAGGGAAAAGCACGTTACCAGCCCAAAGAGGACTGGGCAGCCAAACCCCAGGAGGACAAAAATGGCAACCCACAGCAAAACGAGAGAGATGCTGCAGCTCAGCCCCCCTGGCCTCACAGCGGGGACAAGCACCATGGCTGCTCCTCCTTGCAGAGCATCCCAGGCAGCTCCGAACTGAAAGAGATGCCACCCAGTGAGGGTTATTCCAGCACCAAACTGTCCTTTCTGAGCAGCAGTGGTAAAGAGGAGAAGGATCCCAGGGCACAGGGGCACAAGCAGTTCGGTGATGTGGAGCCGCAGGCCCTCGCGAGGCTGGGGGAGGCCAGCACGAGCGCAGTACCCTTCCACGCTGCTGAGCCAAAGGATGAGGAGCCCCCTTCCCCACAGCACACAAAGACCTCAGATTTTGGAAGGAGCCGGCTGAGCTCTGGCAGCACCCAGAGCTTCCCCTACGGCAAACCAGACCCCAGCAAGCTCCGCTGCTCTGTGCTGGAGAAGGTCAGCAAGTTTGAGCAGCGAGAGCAAAGTTCCCAGCGGCCCCAAAGCGCAGGGCTCCCCTCCTTCGGCCGGGGCTGGCGGGAGGCCGGCCAGCTGCCCGAGGAGCCAGGCAGGGGCTCCAGCCCCTCTGGCGGGAGCGGGAAGCCCGAAGAGCCTGACTGGCGCCCTGGGGAGCTGCAAATGGCGACCGCAGCGAAGGAGCCCAGAGCGAGTGAGTACTACGACGTGTGCGCCGAAAATGAGACGCAAGGGAGGGTGGCTCAGCTGCCGAGGAGCAGAAGCACGTTCCAGCTGGGAGGGGAGCCGGAGAAGGAGCTCCTCTGGAAGGATAACGTCCAGGATGCCCATGGCTCGCAGGTGGACTCGCCGTTCAACAGGGCTTACAGGAACAGCATTAAAGATGCTCAATCCAGGGTGCTGAGGGCCACATCCTTCCGGCGCATCAGCCCCCCATTTGGGAGTGCCCCCAAGAGGGTGACCCAGAGGCCTGCGTCAGCCCACTTGGGCATGAGGAGCGTGGCGTCCTCTCCCCACACACCCAAGGAGCGGCACAGCGTCACGCCAACAGAAGGCAGCCTCTCCGCGCTGGACTACGCCAGGGCGCAGCACGTCTCGCGCATCGGGGGCCGCAAGCGGCTGACAGCAGAGCAGAAGAAGAGGTCTTACTCGGAGCCAGAGAAGATGAACGAGGTGGGCGTCTCTGATAGCGAGCCGTCACCTTTCTTACTCCAGAAAAAAGGCCTCTATTTCGTCTTCCCAGAGAATACGGTGGCTGACCGGCGTAAGATCTTTGAACGGGACGGCAAAGCTTCCTCCACGGCCAGCCTCTCCAAGCCCGAGCTCAAGCAGCTCCAGCAGAATGCACTTGCTGACTACATCGAGCGCAAGACGGGCCGGCGGCCGTCCTCTCAAGATGCGGGGCTGCTGCGGGAGCGCTCGCACAGCTCCTATCTGCAGCCCGGCGGCCCGGACAGCCAGAGCCTCTCCTCCGCCTCCAGCATGAACTCCCTGCAGGACCACAACCTCTACCGCCGCAGGGAGTCTCTGGAGCGGATATCCAGGACGGGGCGGATATCTTCTACCCTTCCTCCTGGCTTGATGGGGTGCTTCGACCTCAACGGAGATGAGCACAAGAAAGGGCGCCGTGACAGTTCAATCCTAAACCAGCCCAGAACGGACAGGTGCCGGGATTACAGAGCCCAAACGGAGCACGCCAAAGGCACGCACACAGACACTCTTGGCCTGCAGGGCCAGCCTCGCCGTGGGAAGCAGGAGCCGGTCTTGGAAACACCTTCCTCTGCCAGGAAATCTGGGAAATCGGTGTCTGTGGAAGACTTGCTTGATAGATACGACAATCAGTCAGTCACAGTGCATATACGCTCGAGGTCGTCTCCCACTCCCATAGCAGTGAAGAAACACCAGGTATGTGGCAAGCAGATCGTCCTCTCAAGCAAGTGGGGCTCTCGCACGCAGGAAGAGGGGCAGGATGCTGGAGAGCAGATCGATGTTCAGTCATGGCAGTTGCTCAATTGGTTATAGAGGAGTTAAATATGTGTTGAGATACAGACTGTTTATTGCCATGTAATTAGCTTTATGCTGCTTTAAGTGCTTACTGGTGGGGTCCTGCTTCCATTCTGCTTCCTTGCTGCTGGAGCTCTTGCAGGGGGGAGATGCTGTGACCCTTAGGCACCTCACCTAAGGGTCTTAGCCGTGCCCGTTAGCATCCCTGGAGAAGCAGGGCGTACAAGTCTGGTGGGAGGCACTAACACAGTCATACACTGCTGCTGCTGTCCTGCATGAGCTGGGCACCACGCCGCCTTCCTCACGCAAAGCAGGGGAGCCTGAGGGCTGCCTGAAATTGCACTGGCTCCTGCTGCTCCCTGGAGAAGCAGAAACGCTGCTGAGTGTCCCCTGGGGTTGCCTTCAGCCCTGGCGGAGCCTGGCTGCGTGGAGCGGAGACCCTGGCCGTGCTCTTCATGCTCCCTGCTTGGTGGTTGGGAACGTAAGGCTGATGTCACAGGCGGGGAATTCTGATGACAGTAAATAGGAGAAGCAGACAAGCTTCTTGGAGAAGAAATGCCAAGAAATGAACCAGCCCTTCAGCTGGTTCAAATCTCTTCAGACCTGCTTGGGTAACTGCGGCTGGTTGAGCCACGCCGTTTTACTGCAGAGGTCTGACCCCTCTGCCCGTTTTCACATCAGGCTCCATTCATAATGGGCAAATGGAGGGAAAAGCAAAACGTGGGCAGACTCCTTGGTCCAGATGCTCTCCAGGTGTTTGGCTGGTCGCACAGACTTAAAGGGCAGCTGAGACCGAGGGTGCCTCTGTCAGCGCTTACGCTTGCGCTCAGCCTAAAGCAAGTTATCAATAAAGGTGCCCTCCGTGGGGTAACATAACCCACGTTACAGACTGATTCACTGCTGTGCCCTGAGCAGCACCCCAGGGCCAAACTGAGGCAGGCGAGAAGAGCCCTGTCCCCAGATCCATGCTGTGCTTCATTCCGAATACCCTCCCTCAAAGCCTCAGACCCCACGCTACACTTGAAAATAGCATTTAAAATGCAGCCTGTGAGTATCGAGTGAGCGAGTGCATTTCTGTCACCACTGCTCTCTCATCGTTGGGATTCCTCCACACCAGCCAGGCACCAGGCTCGTCTGCGCCACTCTGTCACCCTTGCACATCGTGAAGCTTTTTGCATTCTGTAAAAAGACAGTCCTTCAAAAAGAGTTAGGGTGAAAGTCAAGCTGCAACTCTTTTTTTTTTCTGTGTGCCAGTATGGCCAGAGCAGCAAGAAAAATAAACGGGCCTGCAGGGAGAGAGGAGTCTCTGACATGTGCTTTTCAGTGACAGGTTGGGCAGCGAGCAGCTTTAGCTCATATTTATCTGCTCTCGTGGGCAGGAGACAGATTGGGAGGTTCCTGAGATCCCTTTTTTCCCCTTGTTCGCTCATTTTTGATCTTCCAAACATGCAGCAGGAAACCAGAGTTGGGAGCCTGTTGGGAGCTGACTCTTGATTAGGTTTGTTTCTGAACTGGCTCCAATACAAAACCAAAACTATAAAAGTAGGGGCCACAGCCAAAATAACAGGATGATGGAGGTGGATTTTTTTTGCCTTTTCAGATCTTTTGTGGGAAATATGCATTCGCATTTTAGCAGCAGTCTTCACTGCTTCTCTGTTTATTTTTCAGGATCTCGTATGCAGTATATAGAGTTTTTTGCAGGCTGCCCGTAAATTACGTTGCAGTGTCACCGCAGGAATTTGCCTAAAGCCACACGGAAGCTGATAGCCACGGGGCGTTGCGAGCTGTCAGTGCACAGGAGGCCGCCTCCTTCGCCCTGGCTATTTCGGTCCGTCTCGGCCTGCGCGTCTGCCCTGGCTCCTAAGGCAGGACCGGCGCTTCCCCTCCCTGTGCAGCGAGGCTGACCAAAAAAAAAACAGCCACGAGCATGGGGAGGGGGCACAGGAGAGCTCGGTGCCAAAAAGATGGCATGTGAGGAAATAGCAGCCTCTTCAGAAGCATGCTTGGCACTCGCTTTCATGTCTCCTAATAGCCTGGTGTCCCATGGTGGGAGCTCTAGGCGAGGGAGAGTCCGATTTACAAAGGGATTTCAGCTCCTAAATTTCTCTAGTTTCACATGAATCAAATGCCTAAAGAGGAGGTAGATCCTGAGACATTTGTGCATCTGTGCTTAGATTTTCCAAGGAGCTGAGTGCCAGACTTCCTGGCGTTTCTCAGCACCCCCACTCATGGCTGGAGTTTCAAACCTTGGTGGCAATCAGCTCTTCTCTCTGCTTGGGGACAGGCAGTTTGCTGTTCAGTTTTCCCAGTTAAGGCCATTTCAAAGATGGCTCAGTTTCTTCCTTGCATCTAAACCAGGGGTGAACACATAGGTCCCGTCGATACCCTTGGGTACACTTGGTGCCTAGCCATAAGTGGCACACGCAGGGGCTTCTTACCAGCAGGCATCAGTGTTTTGTTGTTTTGCTTTGTTTTCTGCTTGCTGCTAATTGTGTCTTTGCACTCCAGGACCTGCTGAGAAGGGAAGCCAGTGAATTTGGCCCTGTGGTGAGAGATCCTTTCTACGTGATCAGTGCAGGAGCCAGGTAAGAGTATGTTAATGTCCCCTCTGTCACTGCAGGCTTGGCTCTTGCCATCCTGCCGGTATGTTGTGCCAGCTGTTATGCCAGTAACAGCTGCCATATGTTGCCCATGTAAGTGGCTGGATCGTGATGAACAAGAGAAAACATCTGCATGGATGCAGTTTGGGGTGTGCAGTTTTGGGTGTGTTGCACCCAGCAGAGTTAGAGGGAGTAAGCTGCTGTGAGCCATTTATTTTCACTGCAGACATCCACTCACTGTAAATTTTTCCTCTCCAATCATGTCATCTCGGAGCAGGTTTCTGCAGCAATAGTCACATTACATGCCTTCCAAAACAGGTCCGATCTGCTGTTAGGAGTCATGTCCAGAGGTTATTCTAACTGAAGGATCCTAAAAGAGAAAAATACCTTGATGTTTCACTCTTATTTGGTTTCCCCCAGTGCGTGGTGCTGCCTTCCCACAAGCAAGAGCATTTGCATGGGCTGACATGGGGAGATCTCCAGTGTCTTGCTGAACGTGGGGCTTTGTGTTTAGGCTGCTTTCTGTTGCGCAACTAGAATATTTTGATCAGCGTCATAGGAGAGAGAAATGTTTTTAAAAATGGAAGAGTGTAAACATAAAGCACAGAATATTAGAGCATATGTAACTATGAAACTACTTAGCAGTGGTTGTTTTGACGTTAAGTAGAACTGAAGTTGATCTGGTTGTATTTATATATAAATAATAAATACGTCTGCCTTATGCTGTAAGTGCCCAAGCAGCTAACTCTTGCTGCAGTAAAAAAGGGACTAAAGCAATTATTCAGAAAGGAGCTCTATCTCTCAGAAAACTGCAGTAAACGTCTTCCTGTTCTGCTGTCACCCTGGCAGTTAACGGAGTGGGCTCCAAAGGTTTCAGTACGCAGCACTGGCCTGGGCACTGACACCCAGGAGTGTAGGCAGGCTCCTAGTCTAGCTGGATCTTAGTTCACGCTCTGGCTGGCAATATTTGTGCCTAGGATGACATAAATGTTCTTCTGGAGGGACTTGTTTTGCCTTCAGGCATGCCCTTTTATGATTATTTCAAACATACCCTTTTGCTTAGGTTTGGAATAGCTTTCCATTTCTTTCCAAGAAAAAGACACAGCGGCTTTGGTTCATTTTGCCTCTCCATTTCTTCTAAAACTGGCAGGACCTTACCTGCGTGCCAGCAATTAGCACAACAAGTCCCACTTTCAGGATCCTGCAGAGCTCTCCACCACCGCAGGGTGAGCAAGTACAACACAGCTGGGCTCGTATACACAGCCCAGGCCTGTGAGAGCGTCCTGGCAGAAGGTAGCATCTCTGAAGAGGCGCAGCCTGTGCCTGTCCTGTGATTGCCAGCCGAATTAGCTGGCTTTCCGGAGGCTCCTTTGACGTATAACCAGCTCCACCCCATCCCATCCCTGCCCGCTGTGTACCCCATGTGGGGCCCTTCAGGGGAGGCAGCAGCAGGCTAATTGATCCCCCGGGATGCGGGAAGGTGTCTGTCATCCCAGAGGAGGAAACTCCCTGCCATGGTGAAGCTCAGGACGCCCTGGTAGCCATCGCCGGGCAGAGCCTTGGCTCGGCGTGGAACGCCCCGTGCCCCGTGCGTTGCTCCCGGGCGGCGCGCGGCGGCCGCTCCAAAGCACGGCTGGACACGCTTGTCGCTCCACCAGCTTGAGACTCGGCAGTTGCCCCCACAGTAGGAGAGGACTCTGAATTAGAGAATTACCATCTGGCTTTTCTGACACTGAGTATCTGAAAAGAATACACATTGCTACTGTCCAGGATCCACAGACAATACGAAGAGCTGCCTGTCTGGGAAGCGTCCCCACCCCAGGCAAAGGCTGCCAAATTCTATTCTCAGTTACACCAGAATAAAGCCAGAACAACCCATGTCTTTGACAAAATTAATTTTAATTTGTACCAGTACATCTTGGATCAAATTTGGGCCCCAAGTCTCAAACATCATGGATAGACAATATTTGATTATATGAACCACTAGTCTTGAGAACAGCAAATATATTGACAGTACTGTTTTGTTGTATTTTATTGTTTTACGGTGTGGCCTCATGTTTTTAAACTGTCTTCTCTTAGATTTGCTAGCACTGTTGTTATGGCTCATTTTGTTTGCCAGCTCAATAGCTATACGGGCAGATAAGTTTGGCTACATTTTCTAAGCAGGAGCCTCACTTAGACCAGCCGTTCTTTCTCAGATTCACATAAGAACGTCTTAAAAGAGATAGAAATAATAATTCAATCTATTGAATTTGCAGCCTTGATATCCTGCTTCATGTCAAGTTTATTGGCCATGTTTTTTGTAACACCATCCTATCTGAATTGAGCTCTTTTTTCTAACAGGATCCCCAGGTTTTAAGACTTTTTTTCCTCTTGTCAAGAATCAAAATATTGCAGTTTTTGTCTTGCTCTCTTCTTGAAGATCACCCAAACATTTTAGTGGCAGCTTTCCAAAAGGAACAAACTGCATAATGAGAAGCTTTTGCCCATACAGCTCAAGTTGTCAAAATTATCAGTAATTGAGAATGGGGTCTGATGGTTGATAATGTCAAATAGTCTTCCTTGTAGCAATCACTACCTGCCCTGTCTTTAGCCCTGTCTTTAGTAAATAAAATTCAAAGTGAGGCAGGAAAATAATCCAGGCACTTAGATTTTCCACATATAGATGGCTGCCTAGTTGCTGTGCTACTGGAGAAACTCTGGACTCTAGAGGTGGATCAAAAGAAGATTCATTAATCTTGGATCTGCAGAAACGCATTCATTTTCCCTGGAGTCCAAAACTGTATTATTCACACTCTTGTTGGTATACTTGACAGCCGAGTCTCACAACAATAACCAGAGAATAAGTGTGGTTTTTTTCTACTGGGTATTTCTGTGACGCTCCCCAAATGTGTGCGTGATCTAACACGCTGTGGAAGTGGTGGTAGAGGGATGAGTGGGAACGGAGCCAGCTCTGTGGCCCCAGGTGTAGGGGACCGACTTTGCCTCTAGTTTGAGCAGCACAACAGCACGGTGCCCCGCTCAGCAGGCACTGACGCAGGCTCCAACACGGCTGCAGAATTTGCCTTTTAAGGGGGTGTGCAATAGCTTGGCCTGCTCACTGATTAACCGTTAGCCTTATCACAGCCTGTCTCTTGGTTTTCAGGTCTGTCGGCAGGAAGGAAAGAAGCCACTCAGAAAAAATGACATTCACAAGCTATTACCCTCATCCTCAGCACAACTGTGAGGCCGGTGCCAGTTCCTCTGCACTTACTGAGAGCCACAAGGTCTCAGAGTTTTCCAGGCAGGATAGCAGGACTTCTGCATTTATCCCATCCCCGACAGAGGCAAGGAGCCACTACCCTGAACAAAAACAGGGCTTTAAACCCCTGTTCCTTGACCTTAGTCCTTCTGGATCTGGTCAGTCTGCGCCTCATAAGTCCACCCAGGCAGCCTCGGACTTGCACACAGCGGGAGACGGCCAGGTTCCGAGGCAGCATCATGCCAAGCGAGACGCCCTTACCGCTGAGGGCGGCAGTGATATCCAGGGACAGCCTTTGGCCGCTGTCCAGGATAGATCCCCTGAGACTCCCACAGAAGAAGTCATGTGGAGAAGGAAAGCTGGGCTGCCTCATAGATCCCTGCCTACCAAAGTGACATGGGCCCATTCGGTCAAGGATGGCAGCTTCCCCAGGGCCATAGTGTCTCCTCCAGCAGCTGGGCCGAAGCTCTCCCAGAGGTGGCAGTACCTGCCGACACAGAGCAGCACTTCCTCTGACCCAGAGACTCCTTCTCCCCACGGGATAAACCCTCTCCGCATCTCAGAGTCGTGCCTGCAGCTTACTCCACCCCCAGTGCTGCAGGATGATGAAGATGATGAGGTGTTTGTCCCTCCTGCCCAGCCTGGTGTTGGTGCTCAACCCTTCTCATCCCCTCTGCCACCCCATCCTCTTCCCGAGCTGAGCCCTTGCACTTCAACAAACGGCACGCAGGAATTCGCACCTCCTGCCCCTGCAGCAGCCCTTGAGGGGAACGGGGCAGCTGCAGACAAATCCGCCAGGCTCTCGGAGGAGGCCAAAGCGAGGTAAGGGGGAGCTATAACGTGGTGGGTCAGGCGTTGTAGGGCCATATAGAGTAAGATATGCAGGGCTCCAGCCAAATGCGACCAGCCTGCATGGCTCTGCGTGCCGCGGCGACCCACCCGCAGCTGCTTGCTGAGCGTGGAGCTTGTGGTGGAGCGCGCACGTCGTGAGCGCGGAGGGACAGGCGGGCAGCCTCGCTGCCACCAGGCTGGGCTGGCTGCCAAGAGCAGGGGCAGGTGCTGTGGCCCGGGCAGGGCATAAAGCTCCCTGCTCCTGCTGCAGATGCACTGACAGGTGCTTAGAAGGCAAGACAAAAGGGGCTATGAGTGAGAAAGTACCCAGCTCTTCTTCCCCCTGCAGTTCCCTGTGGATTTCAGTGGGGCTTCTTTTTACTCATTCTAGCATGAACAGTTAAAGTGGCCACTGACTCCTTCCAGTTACTGGTTTTTGAGAGAGGACTATCCCATACTGAACACTCCTGTTTTTCCAAACCGTTAGAGTTTTGCAGAGTACACTGCAGACCTGGTGCCAAATAATCCTGTTATGAAATCATAACTATATGCCAAGAAGTGACAACACCAATCTGCCACAGTAACCTAGTGTAGGGGGTTTTTCCTGAAGGTTAGGAGTTTAGGCTAGATGCCCGGCTGGTTTAACTCAGCACAGCTCCCCTCACTGCCAGGGAACTCTCTGATTTCCATTAGGGAAGAATCTGGCCGACACTGTGGTACTGATTTGCTTTTCCAATACAAAAAGGACAAATGACTGAAGATTGCTCAGATGGGCACTCACTAGTTCTGTCTCTGTTGGAAAAACAAACAGTGGTGTCTACGGAATAAACTACTACTGGTGCCTTTAGCTTCACAGGGTAGTTTTTTCTGCATTGAAATGCAAAGAGACAAATGGGTGAGAGAGCAGCAAAGCTTACCTGTGTTAGTCCTTTAGCATATGTGCACAAAGATCCTATGCAGCAAGTTTTTCTTCGTCTCACAGAATTTTTCTGTCCATAGTAACTCCCGAAGTTTTCCCAAAGCCTTGGTCGAGAAAGAGCTTGGACTGGGCACCAATATCGGTGAAAATAATGGGCCTGCATCAAAGAGGACTAGCTCTCCGTCTGCTGTGGATAAGCAGCACCAGTTAGTTGCATCTTCTGAGGGGCCTCAAAGCTCTCATAGACAATCCACAACTCAACCCGAAGGCAAAAGCAGAGAGTCAGCAGTCACTGCTGGAGAGTCGGAAAATGGCAGCCTGGACTCCAGGACACTCAGCCCGGCATCTCCAGTGAAGGCAACAAAAAAGACCCCAGAGGAGATCAAGTCAGAGGCTCTAGCAAAAGAAATCATCCATAAAGATAAGTCTCTGGCTGATATCCTGGACCCAGATGCCAAAATGAAGACAACAATGGACTTAATGGAAGGGCTTTTCCCCAGTGGAACCAGCTTGCTGAAGGAGAACAACATGAAAAGGAAGATGTCACAGAAAACAGCTATTCGGACAGCTCCCGAAGATGACAAGTAAGCACTGTCTGCTCGGGTTGTTGGCTTTTAAGGACAGGCAAGAATTCTGTGCCGAATTCTTGGACACTGCTATAGACAGACTGCTGGAGATGGAGGTCCTCAGTCCCCCCAGCATGGGGCTGACAGGGCACTTCTGTCTAGCTTGGCTGTGTGTGCTCTTAGTCCTCACTTCTCAAGACCATGTAGAAAATGATTCTCAGCTTGGTAGGGGGGCGGGAAATGAGCTCTGTAGAGATTTTATTTGATTTTACTCTCATAACCTTTGTAACCTGAGCAGGTCTGTCTAAACCAAGATAATGGATGTGAGAGTAAAATCAAGCCCAACCAGTGGCTTGCAGCAAGTAAGAGAGACCCAGGCTTGGAGAGAGAGATGAGGGGTGACCACTTAGTGCCATGGGGTGCAAGGGTGAACAGGGGTTCCAAGGGCCCTAAGTGATTGCTGCAGAACTGTATTGAAATAACTTGTAACACACGACGCAGCTCAAAGGGTCAGCCTAGCCCTCAGCAGCTGAGCTCTGTGGATTTACCTCCGCGGAGCAATCTGCTGTTTGGAGCTGGTAACTAGACAACCTTTAAACAACAGAGCAGCTGAGCTGCTGCTTTCTGCAGCGGGCAAATTTGAGAACAGCTGACGTGCACCCTCTGATGGCGAGAACTGCCTTATTGCCTTTGTGGCTCCTAACACTGAGAACTTGTCAAAGAGGAGGTGCTGGAAAAACCTGGGTCCAGGCACAGGGAAAAGTGGGACTCAGACTAAACTCCTTTTTCTCTACTGTGATAGGAAAGAAAAGGAAGTGCCTGTAACTCTGGTCCCCTGCCCTGCTTATTATAACGTTTCAGCACCCAAAGCAGAACTGCTGAATAAAATCAAAGACTTGCCAGAAGAAGCAGGTGAGGAAGAGGAGTTGCTAGACATCAACGAAAAAAAGGTAAATTCAGAGCACGCACCACCACTTTCTGGTTACTTTCTTGAAATAAGTCATAAAGTAAAGAGTGCATTTTCCCTTGAGGTCAGCATTTGGATGTCACACTTGCACATTACATAAGAGCTGGGTGATTTACGCCACATGTGAAGCTTCATTAGGGCAACCTAGGTCACACCTACACATGCCTGTGAGTGGAGAGTGCTTCTCTGAGTGCTCATCGCGGATCTAGCACGAGCCTTGGGTTGACCTGTAGTGTGCCGCTTGCTGAGCATATCGGTTCTAAGAGGCTGTCCCTGCCCAAAGCAAGGAAGAAACAGGGAGGGGAAAAGTGGCTGGAGCAAGGAGCTTTGAGTACAACAGCAGAGGTTAAGCACACCAAAGGACACAAATATTTGTTCAAGTCCCCTACGTTGTGAACTGCAGACACATGACAAGTTTGCAAGTAGGTGTGAGCCTGCTGCTGGGGGACAAGCCCCAGGCCTCAAAGGTTACATTTGCATAGAAAAACAGAAATAGATTGGAGTGATTAGGTCCAGTCAGGGAGATTATCTTGGCATGTTTGTTCATGGTCTGTGTGAAATAACATTTGCATAGGCATCAGCTGAGAAGGCAGCTACTCTGAGGGTCATTTGGGTAAACCAAGCTCATTTCCATTGTAAATATGCAAAGGAACCATGTTGGTTGGCATTTGGGATTACAGGAGAGTCACTGATTAATCAACACAAAGCAAATGCTTTGCAGTCCCCTTCCAATTCACAGGCCTTCAGAACAAGGGTGCTTCACTCCGTGCGGCCTCCTGCGAAAGGGGGCTGGAGGGCAGCCCATGCCTCCCGCAGAGCATGTGGGTCAGCCCACAGCTGTGAGCAGCTCGGGCCTCAGCAGAACCTGCTGTCTGAGCATGCGGGGAGGTGTTGCTCCTTGTCCTGGGTACCATCTGCCCTACTGAGGGAAGCATCTAGGTAAAGGGATTTTGGCTGTCCGGTCTCCTAGCAGGTATTACCTTTGCTGTCATCTCACTTGAACTGCCCTGCTAAAAAATGACATGGTTTTGCAGCCATTCCAGCATAAGCCTCGTAGTATGGTAGCATAATGCTGAGATTTGCTTGAAGAGCCTATTATTCACTTTTTGTCCGGCCTCTGTGCTTGCAGACACGTGCAAGGGGCCCCATCTAGTGGTGCCTGGCTAAACACACACAGGCCCACGAGCCCTGCGCAGAAGGGCCCCTCAGGGCCACTTTCAGCCTGACCTGTGTTTGAAGATCCTCTTTCCTTTCATGTACAGCACCTTCCTGCTTGAAATTACCAACAGCTTTGATGGGAAGAAAAAAAAAAAGACTGTGTTCATAAACGTGGAGAGATGTTTTTCAGGTGGCCTTGTGATTTACTCCAATTTTGTGCTGCAGTGTTTGTGCGCACAGTGGATTAATATACACGTAGTGATGGCTCCGTAGTGCAAAAACTGAAAAGACTGAACACACCCAGTCCTTGTATCAAGAGCTTTTTTTTATGTGTTCTTACTTGGGACTAAATGGAAGCAGGAAATGCAATTTGTCTTCGTCTTTTCCTAAATCCTAACAGATATCAGCATCCCCAGCATTTGTGCAATATGGTTGGTTCTGCAGTCACTAAACCCGGCAGACTTGTTTGTCAGTGAAATGGTTGTCAGCATCTTCACAAAATGGGTGCATGTTCTCTGTGTCTTTGCTCAGAGTCTTAAGTAAACTTAGGACATCTTTGGCGTAAAACTTTGCTTGGTGCATCTCTGTATGAGGCAGAGTCTGCACAGGCAGTGAGCAATGGTAATATCTCCTTGGGCCGAGGTGAATTTGAGGCTTGCGCCTCAATGCTGAGATGGCTGAGAAATAAATGTGGGACTATGGGAATGTGGGAAAATAAATGTGGCAATTCCTTCTTTCTTGCTCAGGCATATATAAGTAGCAAGTTCCAGCTCAGTCACTTATCACACCATTTATAAGAAATCTCAAATTAATTCTTCCCGCTAGTTGTTTCACACAGTAGTGGATAATATAAAATATAACATCTAGACAAGAACCCTGAGGCTGTGTTAGGGAGCAAGGACAATGCAGGAGATGTAGCTCTCTGTGGCTGTTTTCAGCCAGAGACTTGAAAGCAATTTATGAAGAATAATGCATATGATTATCCTCTTTCTAATGTGTGTAGCTGGGTGTCAGAATACGACACTCCAAACTGGCTGTGTCTTTTGAAAATACTGACTGATGGTAAAATAAAAATATATCCATTTCAGGTACTCAGGTTTTCAGCTAGATGTTGAATTTCAGTCATCTCTGTTCCTTCCTTGATGTCTCTTTTGTCAGCCATTGCTGAATGGATCCTGCTTCTCAGTGACAACAGCAGTATCTTCTTGTTTCCGTCATCCACGTGACCAGAGTGATCGTGATAATGACCGTGGCAATGTGTTTCTCTTCTGACAGGCTGAGCTCATCAGGAGCTTGACTCATAAGCTGGAAATCCTGAAAGATGCCAAGGAAGGCCTGCTTGCAGACATAAAGATGAATAACGCTCTCGGAGAGGAGGTGGAGCAGCTGATCAGCGAGCTATGCAAACCCAATGAGTTTGACAAATACAAGATGTTCATTGGAGACCTGGATAAAGTGGTGAACCTCTTGCTCTCCCTCTCAGGACGCCTGGCCCGGGTAGAGAACGTTTTGAGTAGTCTAGGGGAAAATGCCAACAGTGAAGAGCGGGTACGTATGTGTGTAACTGTAGCATCTTGGCCTTTCTTGGGGTGCCAGACAGCAGCAGTCAGAAGAATGGGCTTCTTGTGTAAGCCAGGGCTCCCAGAGTTGCTCAGGGATGCGTCACCTTACTTGGGCGTCCGACTTGCGGGGCCCTGAAGGGGTCTGAGCAATAATACCTTTGATCGCAGCATTCAAAGTGATGGGCCATGTTCAGCTCATATTAGCATTAATTAGCAAATGCAGTTCTCTGCCCGTCAATCTTGATCCTAAATTTGTATAAACATCTCTTGTCTAAACAAAATGTCTGTTTCTGGATAGCATGTGAGTGACCAGTGGGTGGAGGAAAGGCTGTGTCGTGTTGTGTCATGCAACCTGCTGCCTCTTGTTTCAGCTGGAGGCAATTTTAACGCTCTTTGGATGGCTGCAGGAGACAGGGTCGGACTGTGCTAGCAGCCATGGCTTTTGAGCTTTTCCTGGCTTTCTGGGGGGCCTTTTCTGCCCCATGTTGCCTAGAGCATTCGGTGTCCGGTTCAGGAGGGTTTGAGTTCAGTCCACAGCGAGATGTTCATCCTCACCTGCCAGGCTGCGGGCTGTGTATCCCGGAGCAGAGCAGCCATCCCGCCTCCCCATGCGGTGGCAAACACAGTGTGAAGGGCTCAGACAGGGAGGGTCAGTGAGATCGGTGCTGCTGATACTGAAGCGCTTTCTCTGGTGTGCACAGAGCTCTCTGAACGAGAAGAGGAAGCTGCTGGCTGGCCAGCACGAAGACGCCCGGGAACTAAAGGAAAACCTCGACCGTCGAGAACGCGTGGTCTTGGAGATCCTGAGCAACTACCTCTCGGAGGAGCAGCTCCAGGACTACCAGCACTTTGTAAAGATGAAGTCTGCACTTCTCATAGAGCAACGAGAGCTTGATGATAAGATCAAACTGGGTCAGGAACAGCTCAAGTGCCTGATCGAAAGCCTCCCCCCAGACTTCACGCCCAGGGACGCAGCAGCAGCGGCTGCCCTAGCTGCAGCACTTGCTACCTCTGCCGGGGTCGGCGGTAAAATGCCTCCAGTGGTCTCATCCTCTCTCTAACCTTTTCCCGATGGACCGGTGGTAAAATCCTCCTGCCTGAGTCTGTTTAACCCAAGTACTTTGCAGAAAGTTCTCTACAGTGACAATGAATGGAGAGAGGCTTAAAACGAGC